TTTTGATAAATTTTATACTATGTTTTACAATATATACATAAATAAATAAAATATCTATAATACTAAATTAGTACTCACATATATTGGTATGTGTACACAAATAATACATGTATTAAATAGACAAACATATATGATTTACCATTAATAGAAATTTAACTAAAATATATTCTACTATTAAATTAATTATATAATAATTTTAATAAAATGATAATTAAATAATAGAAAATGTTCCTCTTCCTTATAAATAATAGAAAAATGGTATTATAGGTATATGTGTACGGTAATAATATATTTTCATCAATACTAGAATATAGTAGGAATATTTTGTCCAATAAAATTAAAGTGTACAACATTTAAAGTAAATTGTATACCTTTATTAGTATACAAAAAAACAAACATAAATAAGGGGTATAAACATGGATTGAGACTTAACCACTCTCCAGGTGAGAACCTGTGGTCTAATATGGATCATTAAAAACAAAGGACGTGCGACTGTGATTACAACCAATAAATCTGCTTAGATTAAGGAAATTAGGAGAATAAAATAGGAAATAGTATTTTTGGCCAAGGGTAAATTAGTCTTCCAAACAACAACCAACCGCGTAAAAAAAAAAAAAAAAAATCTTTAAAAAAATCTTTCCACACTAAAGTTTTCAAACTTATTTCTTCTCTAACTATATTGATGGAAATAAACAACTATTTTTAATTACTAATATTAACACCCACGCTCAAAAGTCAAAAATCAAAACTCCACGACAAAAAAACTGAAATGACATTATAATGCACCACAACTAACACTAGAATGCACCACAACTAAAATAGCGATGCATTAATACCTCACCAATGCACAACTCACAGTCCTACGATGCACCACCTCCTAAAATCATAGATTTATCAACAATCCTACGATGCACCTCACTAAGCGCATTAATGCACATCTCACCCGCCAACAATGCATAATTCATAACACTGGGTTGCACAACCAACACAACAGAATATACAACAGTACTACCATGTCTACCCAGAATGCATACATATACACCAACATTCAAATATAAGCTATATTATACTAAAAAAAACAAGTGGAAAAAATAAAAATTTCTGATCATTTTCACTGGACGAACACTCTATCGATGATGAAGAAATCGCGACTCCAATTCACAACAGTCATGATATAAGAAAATAGGAAACAAATCTATTCAAATCTGTAGCAGTTACAAAAAAAAAAAAAAAAAAAAAAAAAAAAAAAAAAAAAAGAAGAAGAAGAAGAAGATCAATCTATGTCATCTTACGAAATCAAATCTAAGCCATCCAAAAAAAAAAAAAAAAAAAAAGATTAGACCACAGGCTCACATGTGGAATTGTTTTCATACGGAATGCATATATATGTGTGTGTGGAATTCAATTTAATAACCTATGATTAATTCTTTGATTGTTGACCATCCTAATATGCAATTATTGTCTTCCAAAAATTACAATATATTAAAATTTATAAGAGTTAATTTCATTTTTTTTGTCCTAGATTTATAGGTAACAGTTCACTTTTAATCCTTTTTTGTCAGAACATCCCTCTTTGGTCCTAATGTTATTTTGACATGATCATTTTTTATCCTCTATCTACAAGATCATTAAAATTCTGTTAAATACAATGAAATTTCAATCTTTTTAATACAAAGTGCGGTGACCCGTTATATTTTAATATTTTTTTTTGAAAAAAAATCATAATTGAAGACTGAAATATCCTTTGTATTTAACGACGTTTAAAATGTTTTGTTAATAAAGGACAAAAAATGGTCATGCCACAATAATACTAGGACAAAAAATGAAAGTAACTGTTTGACTTTATTTACAACATCAACAATTGAGTTTTTTGAATAAATTTTTCTAATAAAAAAATTGAACTTGGATTCTTAACGATTCAGGGTAGAGTTTTTGGACATTTTTTTTTTCTTCTGTAAATGTTGGTTTGTTTAGGAGTCTAGTAGTTGAGTTATGTTAGGACTCTCTTGTATTCCTATATTGTCTTGTACGGTACATTTGTGATTATTGATTCAGACTTCAATCCTCATATGGTATCATAGTTTTCCAGGTCTTCGCCGTGGCAACTTCAGGTTCTGTTGACGGCTCTATTGGAGTTTCCTCTGAGTGGACCGTCTCCGAGGCTGCCATGTCAGTCCCGATGCCCACCAATACTTCCCTCTCCTCTGTGCACCATTTCGTTTCCATAATACTATCCACCCGTAATTACCTATTCTGGAGAACCTAGTTGATTCCATTTCTTCGTGGCCAAGGTCTGTTAGGGTTTATTGATGGCACCCTCCCTTGTCTGCCCGATTCTTCACTGGGTCAGCCGCCGGGCGACGATGTTGCGACTCCTCCGCTGGCGCCATCGTTGACTCGAGAGGCTTGGCTTCATCAGGATCAAGCCATTCTCTACCTCCTGATTTCGTCCCTCTCCGACGAGGTCATTCATTTGGCTAGCTGTGGATGGCCATTCCAGCCGCTCTGTTCCACTACACGAGCTCGTACGCTCAGCCTTCTCAGTCAGCTCCAATCCTTGGGACAAGGTGACGAAATAAAAATGAACCCGTAGCTCTTTAGTTCGTCTAGTGTTAGTAGTAGTTCTTTTAGTTCCTCTAATGTTAGTAGTAGTTCGTCTTTCTGTTCTGCGTGTCAGTTAGGGAAGTCTTGACGATTTCCCTTACCATGTTTAGAAACATCTACTTTGCATGTTTTGGAACTGTACTGATATTTGGGGCCCAACGCCTATTCTTTCCTTACTAGTTACAAATATTTTGTGTTGTTCGTGGATGATCTTACTAGATATATGTGGTTGTCCTTGGCTCCTGTTTCTTCGCCCAAGCTGTGGTGTGACAACTTGGGCGCTACCTACTTGTGTGCTAATCCGGTGTTTCATACCCGAACTAAAGAGCTGCAGGTTCATTTTATTTCGATGAAGGATCAGTTAGCTGATATTTTTACTAAGCCTTTGTCGGGTTCGCTGTTTACGTTTCTTTGTGGCAAGCTCAATGTTGCCCCCCAACCTTGTGCTTGAGCGGGGGTGTTAGGAGTCTAGTAGTTGAGTTATGTTAGGACTCTCTCTTGTATTCCTATATTGTCTTGTACGGTTCATTTGTGATTATTGATTCAGACTTCAATCCACATCGATTTTATGTTAAAAAGAAAAAGTCACGCATTTAAATTCAAGCATGCGCCTAGATAGTGACTTTAAATAATGAACCCGTTAGATTTTGGAGTGTAAACTAGCTGGTGGCCACTCTAAGTAGTATGTTTTGATTTTATATTTTTTTAAATATACTAAATGGCCATTGCATGGTCATTTGATTTTTTTTTTTTAAATAAATTTGTTTATAAATATTTTTAAAAAAATAAATAGGAAATGTAATTTTTAAACGTAATGTATAATTTAATACTCCATAATATATTATTTTAATTGCAATTTTATAATTAATAATTAAATTAAAATTTTCAAGCCTAATTTAAGTAAAAAATAATTATAATTATAATTTAAAATGATAATCAATAAAAAAGAATAATTAAAATATAGTTAATATAGATGTGTGCAGTGGGTCCATAAAAAACATGGAAAAACCTCAAACTATTAGAAAAACAAACTTTTTTATATTCATGCACTTTATATATGTAGCTCTTATGCCAAGTAGTTTGTAGTTGAATGATATTTCTGTGACTTTTCTAAATAGGAGGTCACAAGTTTGGAACCCAGATAGGTGTCTGTGACATCTATGAGATGGTATCACACAAGTGTGACCCAAAAAAGAAATATGTAGCTATTATATTTTAATGGAAAAAGGGTGAAATAAGCCTTCAAACTTTACCCAAAATGTAATTAATCCCTCCAACATTAAAAAAGTTCAATTAAAAGCTCAAACTTGTCAGTTTGATACATTTAAACCCAAATGACCGGTTGTTCACCTGAAACAACCGGTCATTAATTTTCCATACAACATTCGGTCAGTCGAAGTTCAACCATCTGCTAGTTGACCAGATGGTTACCAATCTTCGCTAGGAAGGAGTTGCTGCCAATGACCGCCGCAGCTACCTCGCCAGAAGGAATCGCCGGATCTGCTGCTTGTCCGTTGCTTCGCCAAGGAGGACCATGTTGAGGAACTAGAGAGAAGGGTGAGGTGATGGCAGTGGTCCTGCTCGCTGTAGCTGGTGCCAGTCGACGAGGAAGGGGAGTTGACGGCGTCATTGGTGATGGAGGGTGGCTTCGGTGGCAGATACTGAGCCTCGCCGGACCTGCTGCTGCTTCTCGCCGATATACTACACACGCTGGAGGAAACCCAGCTGCTCGCTGCTCATTGCTGCTCGTCGATACGCAGGAGAAGCTCTCCCTTCTTCGGTGGCGTGGCTTTGGTGTCGGAAAATGGGGTGGCAACGAGAGAGAAAGCGAGTGGCTTCCGAGGGGTCCAAGGGGAAGATGAACATTAACAAAAAAAATATGTGCGTCTTCTCCATTGGAGAAGACGAAAACAGTTCATCTTCTCCAATGTATGGGACTGGAGAAGACGATCATGGGAAAGACTGGCAATGTAGAAGAATTACCGGCGGGAAACTGAGCGTTTTGGGCGGTAATTAACCGGTAACCTATTGGTTATCGGTAAACACGGGTTATTATTTGATCTATTTTAACAAGTTTGAGTGTTTAATTGACTTTTTTAATGTTGGAGGGCTTAATTGCACTTTTAGGTAAAGTTTGAGGGCTTATTTGACACTTTTTCCTATTTTAATTTAATTGTATGCTTATTATATAGTGGTATTAATGAATGTAATTATTTATTGTTTATCACCTTCCACACGTGCTGAGACAAATCAATAATCAATATGTAGATTGTAGAGTGAAACAGTCAGCCCAACCATATTGACCCAACAAAATTCTACCATGTCACTTTTTCTTATAACCCCATCCTCCACCATTTCACAATTCATTCATCTATAAATATAGGTTCAGAGAACTCATTATTTGGGCAGGCAAAAAACACCTAACAAATCATAAGTGCTAGAGCTTCAACATCAAAAAGGTTGTAATAGCACCTGGCCTGTTAGTTGTGTGATTGTCTAAGAATTCTCAAAAATCAACATGGAGTTGAAGCAGATCCAGATTCCGGCCACTTCCACTTCTCCGGCGAAACACAAGAAAGCAACCAAATTCGATTCTTTCTCAGAAAATCAACCTTCCAACCCTCTCCCACTGCTTGTCTACTTTACCAACTTCATCTTCTTCACGGCAGTCTATTACCTGCTCGTTAACTGGCGTGAGAAGATCCGCCACTCCAAGCCTCTCCACGTACTCACACTCTCTGAGATTGTGGCCCTCCTCGCTTTCGCCGCTTCCTTCGTTTACCTGCTGGGCTTCTTGGGCGTTGGCTCCGTTTTCGTCCAACATCTTCAAGAACAGGAATCCGAAGAAGTAGAAGAAAAACAGATTTCTCTCAAGAAAAAAGAAAATGATGTTGTAGACAATGACCATGTCCTCACACCTCCGCCTATCAAATCTGATCCAATAATAATATTATCGGAAGAGGACGAGGAGATAGTAAAAGGTGTTGTTGAAGGTCGGGTTCCGTCCTACTCCCTGGAATCTAAGTTAGGGGATTGCAAGAGGGCGGCAGCCATTCGTCGGGAGGCGCTGGAGAGAATAACAGGCAAGTCTCTAGACGGACTTCCCTTGGAGAATTTTGACTATGAATCAATTCTGGGTCAGTGTTGCGAGATGCCAGTTGGGTACGTGCAGATTCCGGTAGGTATTGCCGGGCCTCTCTTGCTTGACGATAAGGAGTACTCTGTTCCCATGGCCACCACGGAGGGTTGCTTGGTGGCCAGCACCAACCGGGGTTGCAAAGCCATCTATGCCTCTGGAGGCGCAACCAGTGTGGTGTTAAAGGATGGGATGACTAGAGCTCCGGTGGTGAGATTCTCCACTGCCCAAAGAGCCGCTCAGTTGAAGCTCTATTTGGAGGACCCTTTAAGTTTCCACACCATTGCTGCAGCTTTCAACAAATCCAGTCGCTTTGCTCGCCTCCAGACCATCAAATGCGCTATTGCCGGCAAGAATCTGTACATGAGATTAACTTGTAGCACCGGCGATGCCATGGGGATGAACATGGTATCCAAGGGCGTCCAGAACGTTTTGGAATTCCTCCAAACTGACTTCCCCGACATGGATGTCATCGGTATCTCGGGAAACTTTTGCTCTGACAAGAAACCTGCGGCTGTCAACTGGATCGAAGGCCGGGGTAAGTCTGTGGTCTGCGAGGCCATAATAAAGGAAGAAATAGTCAACAAAGTACTCAAAACCGATGTTGCGTCCTTAGTAGAGCTCAACATGCTCAAGAATCTCACAGGCTCCGCCATGGCCGGTGCTCTCGGGGGATTCAACGCCCACGCCGCCAACATTGTGTCCGCCGTCTACATCGCCACCGGACAAGACCCAGCACAAAACATTGAAAGCTCGCACTGTATAACCATGATGGAGGCGGTTAACGATGGGAAAGACCTTCACATCTCTGTAACCATGCCGTCCATTGAGGTAGGCACTGTGGGGGGTGGGACCCAGCTCGCTTCTCAGGCGGCATGTTTGAATCTTCTAGGAGTGAAGGGTGCTAGCAAGGAGGTTCCCGGAGCAAACTCAAGAAGGTTGGCCACCGTGGTTGCAGGAGCAGTATTAGCCGGAGAGCTTTCTCTCATGTCTGCAATTGCTGCCGGTCAGCTTGTGAAGAGTCACATGAAATACAATAGGTCTAACAAAGCTTAGAGTTAATCAAGATCATTTCAGACTCACTACTTGGACAGAGTAATGCACAGAGAAAGCAACATCATCCATTATTAATGATGTATCTGAATTTGTTTCTCTTTTTTTAATTTAAAATAATTTTAAATTCTTTGATAATTAATTTGTAATGGTTTGATGTACTTAAAAAGTTCGAATTACAAAATTACAACTATAGTTATTGACGTATAAGGATTTTTTTTTTTTTTTTTTTTTGTCAAAAATAAACGTTTCGATCAATTTTAGAATTTACAAAAATCCTTCTCGTTAATTTTAACCACTCGGTTTCTGGCAGAAAATATATATATGTTGGTTAAAATGCACTGAAAAGAAAGAAGATAAAAAGAGGTGATTAGACTTCCTCATCCTCCTGGTAGTGGTGAGCGTCTCGGTATTTGATTTGGTTGTTTTCGATTTCGATTCAGTTTCTATTTGTTCGGAAAAGGTCTAACAAAGTTTAGAAATTAAAAGATTCACTCAAAGTGAGGGGTTCCTTGTGCGCAGTGAGTACATGTCTAGTCTCTGTAATTCATATTGAGTTACCATGATTTACATCCTCTCAAATGCTCTGTCGGGTCAGGATGTAGAGGGCCTTAGAGTTGGAGTTCTGCCTTTTGGAAGAAATTAAAAGACTCACTCTACCTGAACACACAACACAGAAGCAGCATTTATTATCCAAATTCATTTCTTCTTTCTTTTTTTTTTTTTACTTTTTTTTTTTTTTTTTTTTTTTTTAGAATTATCCAAATTCATTTCTCTTATAATGAATTTAAATTCTTTGAATTGGTAAATACTTTGTAATTTTTAGTTCTACATGTACTTCTAATTACGAAATTATAACTCTACCTATTGTAGGGTGTTTATTTCTCTCATATAATTCTTCCAAAGGTTGCACCCCAACCCTAAGAGATTTCTCTGATATAATTGTTGTTTCTATTGGTTGTTGCATTCTGACGGGGTATCAGTTGCTTCATAAATTTAGAGCATATATAATAATAATAATAATAATAATAATAATAATAATAATAATAATATTTAGTTATTTTTACTAAACCTAATCAAATTTTGCCATTCTTCATGTGGCAAGTTGTGTAGTTAATTTTACCTTTTTTTTTTTTTTTTTTTTTTTTTTTTTAAATTATATATATTTCAAAATCTTGTAGCTTCTGGGATTGGGGGTGGCACAACAATAAATGATTTGTGTAGATTGGAATAAGGTTTAAATTGGCCACTGAATGAAAATAAAGTGCAATTTGACAATTGAACACTCCAAAAACGTGCAATTAGGTCACTGAACACTCCAAATGTATGCAATTTCATCGGATAGCTGGTTACCATCAATTTTAGCAAGTTACCTGTTTACGTGGCAGCTGAGTTGGCATTTTTAATAATTTGTAAATAATTTTTAATAATAAATTTAAAAAATTGAAAAAATTAAATAAAAAAATAAAACGAAGGGGTGGCCGCTGTCATTTTTAAATTTTTTTAAAAAAATTTATTATTAAAATTTATTAAAAATGCCAACTCAGGTGGCACGTAAGCAGGTAACCTACTAAAATTGATAGTAACCTGCTATCAGGTGAAATTGCATACATTTAGAGTGTTTAGTGGCCTAATTACACTTTTTTTTTTCGTTAAGTGAAATTGCATACATTTAGAGTGTTTAGTGGCCTAATTACACTTTTTTTTTTCGTTAAGTGGCATAATTGCATTTTCAGGTTATGTTCAGCGGCCAATTTGAATCTTATTCCGTGTAAATTATTTTAAAATAATTTGAGAAATTCCAAGTTTACTTCCTCATCAAATTTTTATTTTTTTTGTGGTTAAATGAAAAGGGATAAACCCGGTTGGCAGCTACTAGGCAATAACAGTCTCAGTTCGTCTACGCGGTGCCCCACGGCCGGTCCTTGAACCCATCATGTCCGTCTAGAATCATAAACAGGAAAGGTCATAATAGGTTTGTTGGTTACGAGAATTGCGTACATAAATAATTGGACCCCAGAGAAGGAAAACCGATGTATTGATATTTTTTTTTTTGTTTTTTCAATACATTCAGACCATTGAGGTCCGAATGTATTCATATAATTTATTTTGTTTATTTATTTATTTTTTAATAAATACGGACGAATGTATTCATATTATATTTTTTGTTGTTTTCATCCGACTTATTGTTTGCAGAAATAAATGGACTCTTAAAAAAGAAGAAGGTTCATGCTCAGTATGTATAATGTCCATACTTCATATCATAATTTGAATTTAGATGAAAAAATTGGATAATTAAAAATATAAACAAAGCATTATTTTATTGATGATTCAAAGTAGGACAGTTTGGGGGAGAATGAGTTGTCCTTCGACAATACCTACATCTTCTACTTCGATTTGAACCGAAGTCCATTCATTTGGATACCTACGTGTGCGGCGCTGGCCTCGTTGATTTGGTTGCCTAGCAGAAATCGGTGGAAGGCAAGTAACTGGACCGGTACACTGAATTCTTTCGTCTACGGGGTAAAAATTACCGGCATAACAGTTCCTGTAGTTTTCAACCGAGTAAACTTCTGGCACTAATGGGCCGAATCCTTGCCCTCGGTAATTGCATGCTGCAATCACATGTGCACAAGGTAAGCCGTTGACGTTCCCAAGTCGCAGTTACACGTACGTTCCGTTAGATTCACTTGAAAGTGATTTTGTTGACTTTGGGAAACGTAACAAGTATTTAGGGCAACACCATAGATTCCGAGGGCATCATTGAAACGTTGAACGCTTGCACCGCTTGCCTCATTGTTTCGAGCTGACAAATCATCGGTAATGTTTGTCGTGAATCACAGGCCGTGTTGCTGCATCCCCTCTCCCGCAGTACGTCTGTCGGCAAACATAGTCCGTAACTTGTGAAAAGTCATTCGGACTATTGCCGTGACGGGTAACATCCGACAACACCTTAGTGAATTATTTAGTGACTCAGACGGATTGGTTGTCATGATGTCGTACCGGTGACCATCGTCGTGAGATAATGTCTACTTATCGACATCAATGTCGGCAAGATAGGCGTATGCAGCCGGCCATTTGATTTGGATTGCCTGCATGTGTTGAAGGAATTGATCCCTTGTCACAGCAGTACCAGCTTCCCACACTAATTTTCGTAACCGCCTATTTCTGGTCACCCTTGACATGACATTGCTGCGAATGTGTTGTAGGCAAAACCGACGTTTGACACGGCCCCCCTTCAATTGTTCGACGAAATTAAACGCCGCATCGATTCCAGCGTGTCTATCCGAGACGATGCACATGGAATTGTGATGTGGAAAGACATTTTCGGCAAGAAGTCGAAGAAACCAAGTCCAACTGGCATTATTTTCGGAGTCCACGATCGAATATGCCAGTGGATAGATTTCCTTGTTGGTGGTATATCCGCAGGCTAGCAGGAGATGGCCTTTGTACCAGTTGTACAAGTGGGTACCGTCAACACAAATAACCAGGATGTAGTAGCGGAAACCATCTATTGCGGGCTTGAACGCCCAAAATGCATACAAGAAATTCGCGTACCCTGTACCCCTTTCTGCGTTCTGTGTGGTCATGATTTCCACAATGGTACCAGGGTTGGACAGTTGCAACTGCCGGCAGAATTGTGGTAGCTCATTGTACGAGTGCCGGTAATTCCCGTACTGCATTTCAATGCATTTGTGTCTGGCATACCAAGCTTTCCGGTACAAAATGTCGACACCATATCGTTGTCTCACATCCACTTGGATGTGTTTGATTTTGTACTGTGGATCCGCAGTGATCTTTTGAAAGATCAAATCACATATTAATGAGCTGGTGCACAGTTTGTCCGCGGGCCCCTGGTTGAATTGAACTGTGCACTCGTGGGGCTGAGTGTACTTCGTGACCTGCCATTCAGTAGATGCCCCATGCAACTTCTTTGCAGATAATGTCCACGGGCAAGATGGTGTTGAGGTATAATGTGTATAGGAGACCTTCCAATTTGCCCTTTTTTTGTGGTTGGTGACATAGTCCCGCCCGTGCAACATATTGTATGTTCCTACTGCTTTTTTTAGCGTCGGAAAATCCGGGAATACCATTCCTTTCGCAATAACATTTGTGGAGGGGTCGTATGATAGGGTTTCATCATCGTCCCTCTCCGTAAAGCCGTATGCGAATGCAGTTGTTGGAGGTGGTATCGGTGAGTGGTAAGACGGGACCGCAGAATCTGGCAATCGTTGACCCCGACCTCGATTCATTTGAGTAGTTACATTCATTGAATCGAAGTCAAATGGAACTGACACCTGTATGTTTTCGTCCTCCGTATTTCCTGAACTCTCGGACGGTATGGACTCATCAGGTTGATACGTGGCATCACTTTCTGATGAACTTTCCACCATTGTTGACTCAGATGGGAGTTCCTCCGGTGGATCGACATCGTTAACTCCGAATCCGCCACCATAAATATCTTCTGTTTGAACGTACACATGTAACTCTCCGTTTGGCATTGTTTGTCGTATGAAGTATTCCCAGTCTCTTTCGCGTGCAATGTGCAGTAGATAGTGTGTGCTACCCATTGTAGCATCCACTATCACTCTTCCAATTAGCTCAACATTGTCCCCAATGTTGATTCCCATTGCTTGTCTGATCATTAACTCCATAGGAATGAGTCCAATATTTGATGGTATTGGAATAACTACTCGAGGCTGTAGTGAATAATTTATCTGTGGCGGTGCCCCACTTGTTTGTATTTCCCCACCCCAAAAAACGAAAACATATGTAGATATAGCTGCCATTTTAAAAAAATTGCAGTTCGAGAATAATGAATTTGGCTCTTTCTAGATATGGGATTCGCAAAGTTTGTTGAAAGAAATGTATTACGGATAGAGAAGTATTGTGGTGCAGTTGTGGGGCTTGGTTTAGTTGTTCGTATAGTAGTGTGGTATTTATAGTAGTGTATTAGAGTCCGAATTAATTCAATTTAAATGTCTCTATCAGCTTTAGTTGTTTGTATAGTAGTGTGCTATTTATAGTAGTGTACTAGAGTCCAATTATTTCAATTTAAATGTCCCTATCAGCTTTATGAAAGTGTAGTCC